ATCTACATATGTAAATGTATTTGACTTTTAAATTTTTTAGTGTCCCCCACTAGCTTATAGCTAAAAACATAGACACTTAAATAAAGTTTTTCTTTCATTCATTCATTTCTATGTTTTATTGGGCGGCGGCCTATGTTTTATTGGGAGGCGGCGTGGCCGCGGCCAAGTGGTTAAGGTGCTAGACTTGTAATCCGGTGTCCCGCGTTTAAGTCCTCCACCCTGCCACTCTGGATTTGTTCTCGGTTGCCCCTGGTTCAACTCCTCAGCTGCGCTCTGTAAATAGCCCACTGGTCTGCCTCCTACCCAGTGGGATTTTCAAGTACTTAGTTTACATTGTGGTTGAAAAGCCCCTAAGGGGGAGCTCAATTTACGTATTTATTTATGTTTACGAAAAACATCCGGGTAATCTCCCATGTGCTCTTAAAGGAAAATTGTCACGTTCTTGTTGGGATATTTGTTACAATGAATATCGTTGTTGATAGAAACTAAGCTCAAATAGTCGGTGAGTTTTCGTTGTATTTGTGTATAATTATTGTAATTTTGTTTGTTCTAAGCGTGTTTTCTGTTTGCAGAAAACTTCCTTTACTGGTCTAGTCTAGTCGAGTTCTCGATTTCAAGCATCATATGTTTCTGCGAAATAAACAACAACAACTTCAAAATAGGAATGAGAAGGCTCTGGATTAGAAGAGTATTTTTTTTCTACAACAAGTAAATAAGATTATTATCAGAGGGAGTCGTGGGAGGTTCTGAAAATGCAACACCGAAAACAAAAGAGAACTAGCACCTCGTCACCCAAAAAAATATTATCAATGCACCGACAGCACAATATAGTATAAGTCGCAGGATTTAAGTGGTCTGGTTTCAAACATCTCTACAACGTGCTGGTCTTTGGCTGGCTGATAGTGCATGTGGGGGCCCAGAGGTCAAGTAAAATGCTACCGAATTCGGCCTGACCCTCAGGGTCAGTTAGCTAATGTTTATTAAAGATTAACTCGGATTTATTGCTTACTTTGTTTTTCCAAAATCTAGTTTCTAAAAGGGTTAAAGAATAAACTGCAACTTGCAAATGGTTTATTTCACCAAAAACCGTCAGTTTGAGATCACCGCAACATCACAGTGTGAGTTCTCCATTGCATTACCGCATTAACAAAAAGGTCAACACTGCAAACCCAAATGTTTATCATTATACTGCTTTTTTCACAGACTGCCGGTAAATCAAATGTTCAATTTCCTGGCATGCATGAAAGAACAGCTTCGTTGACTGTATGTATTGCTGCCACATCCATATTAACCTTACTACCTGTTTACCTTGATGATCCCTAGACTGCATTACGCAAGTCATAGGTTCCAGTCCTTTAATCGAACGCTGGTCGTATGCTGGTACACTAGTACTTTGGTACGCTAGTGATACGCAGTCCTTTAACCGAACGCTAGTACATAGGTACGCAAGTTATTCATGCTTGTTCGAGGTGTGTAGTTAGTACTCTGGTACGCTAGTGATATGCAGTCTTTTAATCAAATGCCAATACGTAGGTACGCAAGTAGTTCTAGACTGCTTTGCAGCCATTTCCGGAGCAACATTGCGTGACAAGACTAAAAACGGCTGTGAGGGAGATTAAAGTAGTTCATGCTCGTTCGAGAGATGTAGTTAGTAAGCTAGTACTCTGGTATGCTAGTGACATGCAGTCCTATAATCGAACAATAGTACATAAGGACGCAGGTCACTCAAGGCTGTTGGAGAAGTGAAGTTATTACTATGGTACGCTGGTGGCATGCAGTCCTTTAATTGAACGCTAGTACAAAGGTACACAAGTCATTCATGCTCGTTTCGGAGGTGTAGTTAGTACTTTGGTACGCTACTGACATGCAGTCCTTTAAAGTAAGCTAGTACATAGGTACGCAAGTCATTCGTGGTCGTTCGAGAGGTGCAGTTAGTACACTAGTACTGATGAATAAACAAGTACTAAAGGAGTGTGCTTTGCTGTTAGTATCGTAGTACTGGTGAATACTGTTGGTACTGTAGTACTGATGAATAAGCGAATTTAAGCATTCCTATAATGGGTAGCTTATGAAAATTTATCTTGCGTTCTTGAAGGGCAAAGAGTGAAATCTAATTTTAAAATGGAAACATACCTTCTCCCATAAAAGTGTTCCTTAAAAGAGACATGATTAAGAAATGAGATCAGCGTAGTGGTTCATTCTACAACTATATCACATTTGCCTAAGTTTAGAGCATGATCCATGATTAGAACACAGTCCTGGGCTCAGGAAATGGGGCTGGAGATGTGGCAAAGAAATATCGTGATGAGATGGGTTAGGGGATGAAAGGAGACAAGAAGATGTTTAGTTGGGAAGGAATCATTTTAATATCTGCCATCAAGTGTTACATCAATTGACTTGTTATTACAAACATCCGTCCCTTAATAAGTGCCCCTGAGACGAAAATTTACCAGTTTATTTTGGGCTAATTTTTTTATAGAATGTTGAATTGGGTCAAGTTAAAACCCTTTTTGCCATTAAAAGCTCAAAACAAACCTTCGATGACCAATTTTTACTGCTTCAAAGTCGTCCAAAAATCGTCCGCCATTGCTGAAAACATGTTCCAGCCAAGCCCTGCAATTGTACAGCAGAAAACGTCTTGATGATGTCAAAGGCTCAACAAACTTATGCTTTGGTTTGTTACAACTCTCTTTGTTCACTGCAAAGAAAATCACACATATTACTTTTTTGAGAACTTTTTTGTTGTCAGTCGCAATGTTGACTTTGTCTGATGATGAATTGTCCCAAAAATCATCTGAAGCTTCTGTGGATAGCTTTGCGCCGGCAAACAATGACTTTTTGCCATGCGAATAAAAATAAATACAGAATGGCATGGACCCACCATGTGGCTTTTGTGGTCGTATTGCTTTATCGCCTTCAAATTGTATTTTTGCTTGTTGTAAGGGATTTTCCTTTTTTGTAAGAAATGATCGAGTGATATGTAAAAATTGTTTTCGGCAATGGCTGATCAAGGTGAATGTTGGGAGTTTGTGAAAGCCACTTAGCCTTTAATGTGTTTGCCCTGATGCATTTGGTAAATGATCTCATTAACCCTTTTCTGCGTGTTTTTTACTATCAGTGCTTTGAAAGGTTTGAAGTGAACTCTGTTGTGGAGTTGCACTTTGGCCTCTTGTTTTTTCTGTCTTATTTATGATGACTATTGTTGTGTTGCTTTGGTGAGGTTTGAAGCAGAGTTTGTTTCAACTCTTTTAGAGCCGTGACCTCATTTCGCTACATTTGGTATTCAGTTTGACATGAAACAGACGTAGTTCTTTGTTTAGTCCGTGAAAGGTGTAACAGAGGCGCATTCGTCTTGTGACTAAATCTCGCAAAAGTTGGCCTGATTTCACATTCCTTTGTCATGGGTGTTGGGATGAATTCGAGACCCTTTGATAGCATCCTGACTTGGCTGTCAGATGGTTGATAGTTTGAGAGGTTTTTTAAGAAATTTTCATTTTCTCGGGTTTTTGACTGCAAGCTTACATTTTAAAGTGTTTTTACGCTCTATGTGTCTTAAGCTGTTTGTTCTACTTTGGCTGATATTAAAGCCAGCTTTTTTTTAGTCAGAGCACACAATTATATTTTTCATCTCTTTTATATAAAAGGGAGCTCTTTGAGGTCAGAAATCTCGTTCCTCAATTCGGCTATTTTATCATTCTTATTTACAATGTTCACTGAGTACTTTCCTTTGTGTAAGGTATTCTGCCAGAGAGTTATTAAAGGTGGATATTGATCAGCGTATATGTAAAGGTGACAAAACCTGTGGAGGTTCATAGACTTCACTTTTGTCAAGATCACACTGAGGACGGTTTTTCTTGTCCCTTCTTTTGAATGGTAGGCACTGAAGCCGACAGAATGCTTTGCCTAGATCTTTCAAAGTACACAGATCTCTCGAAACAGTCCTCCGAGAATTGTTTGGAGTAGATCACACATATTCCTGCAGGATTGAAGTTTACTCGGCGAGTTCACACAAATGGCATCCGTTGTTCCCACTGATCTATGTGCAAGGCTCTGATGCAGAGAAATACCTGCGGCATGGTCTGCACGATTACTCCTGGTTTGAATTACCCATCAATGCCTCATCATTTTTGTTTAGATTTTGTAAGAATAGAGTGAAGCACTCTGTTATGTTTGCTTGACATTTTGCCTTGTGAGATTTTCACAATGAGCCTTTGATGTCACTTCCTCTGAGTCCTGCGATCAACTTTTGGAACATGAACAATTAATGGTGGACGCGAAATCACGAATTTAACAGCCCGGAAAAAGATATCTCTGGTGCTCGGTCTAGACTGAAATTTGGCAGGAGACACACTGAACATGAAAATGCAAAAAAATGATGTATGAAAATTTTGATCTCAGGGGCACCTTAAGTTTAAACACTCAAACTAGGTTACTACTAAACAATGCCTATTGTTACAGAAGAGGTGAAGAGAAATAGTCATGGTGTTCAGAGATTATAGGTGCTGATAAGTGTTGGGGAACTGTGTGAGATGATGGGCCATCCGGGAAGGATATTAAGTGGAATCTGGCTTAAGCTTCAACCTTTTTATTTAAGATTTAATTGTTCTCTCTTTTCAGATTTTATTCCAGTTACATTCATCTTGCCAGCAGATTATAATCTTTTTGTGGAGGAATTTAGAAAAAATCCATCCAGCACGTGGATCATGAAGCCGACTAATAAATGTAAGTGGCAGCTTTTTCTGAAGTTTCACAGAAATTCTGAAAGCCAGGGCTGGAAATAATTGCTATGCATGCAGGAGTTATTTTTTTTTGGTTATGTGGATTGAAATGGGACACTTACTAAGTAACGCTGGTGTCTGAATAATTGTTGGCAATAATACACTGCATTGATGCCACACGTCCTGCAGTCCCCTCCAAAGCCCTGATTTGAACTCCTCACGCAACGCTCTCTCCAACATTGCGTGACGAGACCAAACAGCAACCTGCTTGTGGGCTATAATAATGCTTACTGCCACCTTTTGGTTAGAGACAAAGTTGTTATTATTATTCTAGCTGTAAAGAGCCAGAATCAGTAATTCCGTTTGGTTTTTCCTGTGCAGGAAAATGCACAATAGGTATTACATAGCACTTTTTAATTGGCATAAAGCGATGTGGTGGACATAGCCTGGGAATGTTGGTTAGGCCATTTTTCTTGAAACATTTAAAAAATATGACGAGTGATTGTTCTATGCGTCTATTTAATAATGATCTCGTGTCGATTAATTTAAAGGCAGATTCATAAGAGAAAAATCGAGTTTCCTTCTATTAAAAATTGTTTATTTCATCTTTAGATTCACAAGACACTGAGTTATTCAAGTTTAAAACTGTTCTTAGACCACAATGGTTTGCCTTTTCTAGTTTATTACTTAATGTTTTTGTAAGACCAATGAAAAGAGGATTGCGATATTCAAATTGAGGCGGAATAAAGCTTCTGTAGAGAGCTATCTTTTGTTCTTTGGTACTAAGCATTTTAGGTGTCTCAGTGCCCCTATTTTAGCATAGACTTTATTAAGGATATCCTTTATGTGTTCCTGGAAAGATAGTTTATTATCCAACTTTATTCCCAGGATCTTGAGGTGGTGTTTGGTTTCAATAGCACTGTTTTCAAATAGAAGTTTATAATCCTACTTTGATTTACCCATTATCATTCCTGGAATTTTCTCATCGTTAGATTTCAGGAAATTTTCTTTTAGCCAGTTGGAGAGTTTGACCAGGTCTTGGTTCATGATGTATTGTAAGACTTTTGGGCTTGTGTTGGAAGCATAGTGGGTTATATCATCTGCTTAGAGCCTTAGGAGTGAAGATGAAATGAAGTCGTTCATATAATTAATGTATATGTAGAGCAGCAAGGGGCTTAGAAGGTTTTCCGCATTTGAGTTGAAAAATTAGTTGAAAAGTGTAATGCCTCACATTTGTTAAAGGTGTGAAAAATTGGTTTGTAGGTGTAAGTTCAGAGTTTTTCAATCTGCAGGTTTTCTTCAAGGACAAAATCTTTTACTGAATTAGCTAGGATCATTTGGCATGATCTGTAATTGGAAAAGTATCAGTTCTTCGAGTACTTTTAATAGAGTGATATGATTGCTCGATTTTAGTAACTGGTTGTGGCCTGTAGACTGCTGTAGTCATGAAAGAAAATCATCAGCTTGTTGGGTAAGCACACAGCTTGGATATATACTGCGTAACCATTTTTAATATTTTGGTTTTTTTTATTTTCCAGCCCAAGGCAAAGGGATTTTTCTAATCAACAGGCTGTCTCAGTTGAAGAAATGGTCTAAAGACAGTAGGGGAACACCGTATGTCTGTTGATTTACAATAGTCATTATTAACCATCATTCTTTGTGAATATTGGGTGAAACATGTAATTTCTATCGCAAAATTTAGTCTTTTTATGTTATGCTTTACTTACAGACTTGTTCACCCAAGTGGAAAGGATGCCTATGTAATATCCAGATATATTGATAATCCATTGCTTATTGGTGGCAAAAAGTTTGACCTGCGTATCTATGTCTTGGTGACATCCTATCGGCCACTTAAGTGCTACTTGTAAGTCTTTCTTCAAAAAGTATTGATAGAGGTTTTCTGTAAAATTTATGCCATAAAATTACTTGAGTATTTAGGGACCTGGGTTCAGGTACACATACAGTGCACAATGTAGTTGAAGTATTTCTTAGTTTATTTTCCCTTCCCATGAATGGATGGCATTTGTTAAAAATGTCATTTGAAGTTCACTTTACTCCCTTAAGCAGCCATATTGACCAGTGAAGTGTGTAGGAAGATTGCTTAAAATCTCAAAGAGTAGAATTGCTTTATGTCCCATCTAAAGGGGGTATGTGAGGGAGTCAATTAAAAAACTACTTCATTCTCTATTTTATTTGCTCTCTTGCAAAAGGAATGTGCCAGTTGCAATTTGAATAGTTTTCATTGTCTTAGGAAATTCAGTTTTAAAAAAAAAGAGGTGATGATATTGAGGCTAATAGGATTGCATATGAGCTACAAAATTTCTTTGGAAAGTTGGAATTAAACAAATATCCTGGAAATATAGGCATAACAGGGTCAACAAACCTTATCATCAGAAGGGGAGAGAGTTTTTGTCTGGAGTGGCCCAAGGTGATTGTTCTTAAGACAGTACACTTTGCAACAAATTCTGATTTACATATTCACAGTTTTGTCAGTTTGACAGGAAGATGGTCACTAGGCAAGACAATATGCTGAACCAGACACAGACCAAAATAGCTGCTCCTTTTTCAAAAAGTTGAGCCTCTTCAAGATGACTCTTATTGCTAGCTTGAACAACTTGTACATAATCAAAACTTTTTCTCTTCTGTTATCTCTTCTTGCTTTAACAGCATCTTAACTTTCACAGCAGAAAGAAGACGTGTTCAGTAGTAGGAAAAGGAGGTTTCTGGCACATTTTTTTTTCAAAAATACCCTGAAAAACAGGGCAATTTTGAAAACTGATTTTTTTCATTTTTTATCTCATTTAAAAAAAAACCATGTTTTTCAGGCAAAAGGATTGGCGCATTTTTTTCTTTTTAAAATCAAAGCAAAATTGAAAAATAATTTGAGATTTGATTCAGTGGGTTTCTGGCACATTTTCCAAATACCCTGAAAAAAGGGCAGTTTTGAAAACTGATTTTTTTCATTTTTTATCTCATTTAAAAAAAAACNAGTTAGAAACATCTTCAAAAAGTATGGTTTTACAGTCTCTGCTGTTGTTTTGGCAGTTGGAACAACGATTGGAGTGATTGTGAGCACATTGACAAAAGGCTTGAAGACTGTTGCAAAAGGGGTGGGGAACGGGCTGAAGACTCTTGGAAAAAAGATCGCTGGAATTTTACCAGGTCTCATTGGTTCAATAGTCGGCTATGTTTTCAGGGCTGCTGGCTCAGTGATCAGCTTTCTCGGACAAAATGCTTGGGTTCTGATAATGGGTGTTGCCATATTCATGGTTGAGCGATTTCAAAACAGAAGGCGATAAATCAGGAAGGGAAAACTGGGGAGGTGTTTAGAGTTGAGAGCCGTCGCTGAAATCGAATTGATCTCAAGAAAGGGTGTTTATCCATATGATTACATGAGCAGCATTGAAAAGTTCGGAGAAACAGAACTTCCAGCAAAAAGAGAGTTTTACTCAAAGCTGAATGACTGTGATATAAGTGAAGGAGATTATGAGCACGCAAAGAAAATCTGGAATGAGTTCAAGATGAAGAACATGGGTGATTATCATGATCTTTATCTCAAATCAGATGTTCTATTGCTTGCAGATGTGTTTGAAGAATTCAGAAACGTCTGCCTTGAGAATAACAGTCTCGATCCTGCTTGGTATTACACTGCTCCTGGATTGGCTTGGGATGCAGCATTGAAGGTGACAAAAGTTGAGCTTGAGCTTTTGAGTGATCCAGACATGCTTCTGATGGTTGAGAAAGGAATTCGTGAAGGAATCTCAATGATCCCTAATTGCTATGGAAAAGCAAACAACAAATACATGAATTTAAAGTTTGACAGAGAAAAACCATCAAAATATCTGACTTATCTTGATGCAAACAATCTTTATGGATGGGCAATGTGCAAACCTCTTCCTGTCAGAGGTTTCAAATGGGTGAGTCGAGAAGAGATTGGAGACTGGAGAGCAAGCGATAGCGAGCATCGCAATATTCCCTGCATTCTTGAGGTTGATCTTGAATATCCAAAAGAGCTTCACAATCTTCACAATGACTATCCTCTTGCTCCAGAGAGAATCATGATCAACTCAAACAAAGTTGAGAAACCTGTGCCAAATCTGAACGATAAGAAGAAATATATCATTCATCACCAGAATCTCAAACAGTGCCTTGAACTTGGCTTGAGACTGAAAAAGATTTACAGAGGAATCAAATTTGAAGAAGAACCTTGGCTAAAAAGTTATATAGAACTCAACACAAATCTGCGCATGAATGCAAAGAATGAATTTGAAAAGGATTTCTTCAAGTTGATGAACAACTCTGTGTTTGGAAAAACAATGGAAAACATCAGGAAACGAGTTGATGTGAGGCTTCTCAACAATCGAAAGAAAGCACAAAAGCTTTCAGCAAAACCAAACTTCAAGCATTGCACAATATTTGACGAAAATCTCATTGCAATACATATGGGGAGAACATCAATAAAGTTTGACAAGCCAGTTTTCTGTGGAATGGCTATTCTTGATCTCAGCAAGACTTTGATGTACGATTTCCACTACAACTACATAAAAAAGAAATATGGAGATAAAGCCAAGCTTCTTTTCACAGACACTGACAGTCTCATGTATGAGATTGAAACTGAAGACTTTTACAAGGACATAGCAGCAGATGTTGAAGAAAAGTTTGACACCAGCAACTTTCCAAAAGACCACATTTCAAAGATCCCAACTGGTTGCAACAAAAAAGTTGTGGGCATGATGAAAGATGAGGCTGGTGGAAAGATTATTGAGGAGTTTGTTGGATTGAGAGCAAAACTTTACAGCTACAAGATTCTTGAGGGCAAAGAAGAGAAGAAGTGCAAGGGAATCAAGAAGACTGTGATAAAGAAGAATATAACTCACGAAGACTACAAAAAGTGCTTATTTAGCGGAAACATACAAATGAGAAAGATGAATGTAATCAGATCACACAGACATGAGATTTTCAGTGAGACCATCAACAAGATTGCTCTGAGCGCAAATGATGATAAGAGAATCATAANCAATCATTTTGCCTTGAAATCACCGTTTTTTTAAATGAGATAAAAAATGAAAAAAATCAGTTTTCAAAACTGCCCTGTTTTTGAGGCAATTGTGCCAGAAACTGAATCAAGTCTTCAATTGTTCTTTGATTTTTGAAAGAAACTGCGCCAATCATTTTGCCTGGAAAACATCCTTCTTTTTTTTAAAATGAGATAAAAATGAAAAAAATCAGTTTTCAAAACTGCCCTGTTTTTCAGGGTATTTTGAAAATGTGCCAGAAACCCACTGAATCAAATCTCAAATTATTTTTCAATTTTGCTTTTATTTGAAAAAGAAAAAAATGCGCCAATCATTTTGCCTGAAAAACATGTTTTTTTTTTTAAATGAGATAAAAAATGAAAAAAATCACTTTTCAAAATTGCCCTGTTTTTCAGGGTATTTTTGAAAAAAAAAATGTGCCAGAAACCCCCTTTTCCTACTACTTGTTCTTTTAATAACAGATTTGAAATTTAAGCACCTCTCCTTGCTCTTCTCTAGTGGGGTTTTAAAGTGACTGGTATTTTTTTTTTCCTGCAGGTACAAACTCGGATTCTGCCGATTTTGCACTGTCCAGTACAATGCAAGTCTGAGTGAACTTGACAACATGTTTGTTCACCTGACAAATGTTGCAATTCAAAAGTATGGGGTAAGAGAGGTCTGAGATCAAAATGTAATAATTGTTTGGAGTGCTATCTTATAGGTACAATTTTTTTTTTTCAAAGGAAGAGTATAATCCAATTCATGGAGGTAAATGGACTGTGAAAAATTTACAATTTTATCTTGAAGGAACAAGAGGGAAGGAGGTAAGTAGTTTGGCTGAGATTTCTCAAAGGTTTACTTCTTATTATTATTTTTTTAGACTGTTCATAGCACAATGAACTAAGTAACAAATCTTTAAGTCCTGAAAGATACACTTTCTGATGCTTTGTTTATTTTTAGATCACAACTTACTTTTAATGCTCTACTGAATACTCTAATTGAGAAATTACGATGAATTATTATTTTAAGACGTTTTTGTTTCCTGTGGGTAGCAGAGTCATAAAAGCAAAGCCAGAACTCAAAAAGCATAAGTTACCTGCGAATTTTCTGCTGAAAATGAGGAAGATTTGTCTTTTGCCCATCTTTCAAAGTCTGGAATCAAGGACAAACTAACCTTACAATCCTTTAAGTCCAAAATGTGGTTTATTAACCTTGTAGATCTTATAAGAGACAATTGTGGTTCTGGTCTTACTGTAGTTCTTTAGAATTTTTTGGAAATATTTTTAGCATTTTTCTGTATATTTAAGTGGGGATAACTTCAAAATCTTTAACTTTTGAATGTGAATTTTTACAAATTTTAGATTTTAGTGATCTATGAATTTACCTAGTGATACTATAAACTCACTCTGAGTAAATGCGTAGGGAAAGGGAATCACCATATGTGATCCAATCAATGACAATGCTGAATGGTTCTGAGTTGCAGGCAAAGCATAGCTTAATTTTGCTTTCATTTGATTCCTGAACCAGTTGGCATGCTTTTCCAGGTCATTACATTCCTTTTCTCTTAGAATAATGACCATGAGCGTTACTTGACACCTGTATACACTTATGGTGAAAATGAGAAAAGATCTCTCACAACTCACACTTCTTGTTGACCATTTGAGGGGAAGAGAGTGCATATTTCTTGTCAATTTTCTATTCCAAATGTTCCAGTCATCCATTAATGATGTATTCTCCAAGTTAGGAACTGATTGGATATATTACATGATGTAGTAACTTCTCTATGCTTCTGCTATAAAGCTGAGATAATTAATTTTTATCTCTTAATGTTTTTGTGAAGTCTGGACTTGAATTTCTATTCTTTTTAAGTCCTCTTCAAATTTTTTTTTATGGAAGAGTTTGTTCTTTGCAAGTGTAGGGCTTCTCCTTTATCTAAGACATTGCTTGCACTGGTGGCTGGCAAGAGTGAAAGTGTGTATTAAAATTTCTTGGTCAGTGAAAGTGTTTCTCCCTAAGACGCATGCACCTAGACCAGTGATTTCTGTGACGCTTGCGACAAACGAGATCGAAGTCGAAGGGTGTCGCTAAAGCGTGTTAATGCTACGGGACTATCTTACAGGTCGTGTGCTTCAAGTACCAATAACCACGGAAAACCAAGGTTGACGGTTAACGGTGATTTAATGATGATAAACGATTAGCGAACCACGATAGGCAATCACGATCACGATCACGATCACGATCGTAAAATATCGGTCCCGCTTGTGCCAAGGGTTAAGAACCAAAAACGGCAAGTCAAACAGATAGAATGGACAAGGCGAAATACAATCATACACTGGCTAAAGGGACGCTAAACGAGGCTTTTATACGCGCGTGGGGACGCTAAAATATCTGATTACAAACCAATCGAGAATAGACAACAACGTAACCACATCCGTAACTAAAGTAATTGGTAACGAACAAATCAAATTCCACTTAGACTGAATGAATCGTTTGAGTGTCCTTAACATTAGGGGTAGCAGATGAAAAGGTGCGATCCCCTAAAGTCTTTTTCAGCTTTAAACTAGGATATTTTAAGATAAGACCATTAGCTGAACGGAGACTATAGCGAGGCTGTTCTTTAATAGTGATCAAGTCACTCAAGTACCCAGGCGCATAACCATGGATAGCTTTGAAAGTAAGAAGAAGTATTTTAAAAGCGATTTTAAATTTAACAGAAAGCCAATGTAACGAACATAGTACAGGTGTTAGGTGACTGTAGCGAGGTACATTAGATATAAGCCTAGCAGCTGCATTCTGCAGGCGTTTCAGTTTACATAGGTGAAAAGAGGGTAAACCAAATAGAAGACTGTTAGAGGAATGGTTCGTTGTGTTCTGGTTTGTCCCTTTGGTTAT